TTGATTGATATTGATTGATTGTATATATTGTTTAACGTCCCTATAGATAATTTTTTACTCATATGGAGACGCCACATCTTGGCGGTGGAGAGCAGCAATTTTTGACTATATTCGGCACTTAGGGCCAGTTAGCAGGGAGGGATCTTTTTCGTGCCAGCACCTACTGCGACACTAGGCCCCTATTTTTACGGTCTCATCCAAAGGACCGATCTCCACGTCCTACAGTTGGATTCGAATCTGCGACGTTAGGATCAACCCCTGACTTCGCGACTCTTAAAGCAGACGCTCCAACCAATGCACCACGCGAGTATGAAATTAGTATGAAAAACGTCAGTCAGCATTTGACTTTATGATATTGTGTATTTGCTGACAAAGTCATTGTATCGATTGTGGAACTTACTGTAAAGTACGCGTCACATGGATCTAGCACATAAACTAGAGGTACTATGAGTACTCAGCTCACTAAATGATATCCCTGCATCTATTTTTGTTATTCTTTCATTTGACAAATGTTCACTTACTGACTTTGTCATTCTTGTAGACATTGCTTTAAAATTAAACGTCTATTTGTATGTAAGTAGTGAGTGGGAGTGGGAGTAGAGGAATGTTAAAACATCAAAATGCAACTTTTTATAGTTTTAATATGCGTATAAAAAGTAAATCCATACTTTTCACCTTTACCTAGCTGCAATAATGTAGCCCTCTCCGATTTTTTTTTAATCTGATGTTTTCTGGAGAGGGCTACAATTCCATCGCATCTCCGTAATGGTGCAAATATTTTTTTTAATAGGAACGACTGCAGGCAAAATAAATTATTTTTACATTCAACTTACTTCTAATAAGACGAATTTTTTATTCACTGTCAACAGAAGACCCCGTTAAATGCGAAAAACTTGTAAAATAACTCTGCATGTTTCCTGGTAGTTTACTTCAGCAGCCATGACAGTTCACGCGTGACGTAATGAGACTTTCGCTTGCAATTTAGAACAACTGAATAAAGCAATTATCGGTGTTTATAAATGTATGTGCTGAATTTCATCACAAAAACATAGGTATATAAAACATTTTAAGTGTTATTTTTATGCAAGCAGCGATATTTATGTTTAAAATAAGGGAATTCCAAAAAGCTCCGCTCCTATAGAACCTAAATTCTCATTGGCTGTCCCAAAATACAATCTATCAAGGTCAGTAAACATGGCGGATAAATTCGAGTTGTGATGTTGATATACACGAAAAATAAGCGATATAGGGATCGTTCTGTATATTTTTGCATTGGTTTACGTCTTGGATGACTACTTATTTGGAGTCAAGGTAAGAAATGTTAATAAATAGCCATTTACTGTTAATTTGAGCCGAAATCCGTGCGGGAGCAAATCACTCCCGCAGCTGCACCATTATAGAGATCCTAAGGAGTTGTAGCCCTCTCCCCAAAAAAAGGGAGAGGGCTACATTATTGCAGCTAACCTTTACCGACCGCTTAAGCTTTGCTAAAATTGTCAATGATTCCTGCCAACTGCCTATCTCAGTGAGCAATGCATTTTTTGTACAACTGGTCTGCACACTTTTAAATTATAAGAGAAACTTTGCATATTATTTTTTACATGTACACATTTCTTTGTAATTGTTGTTTAACACATTCTGTTCTAAAATATGTAGCTTCTTTTATGCGCTGGAATGGTTTCTGTTTGAGCGACTCTTCATAAGACCGTAACGCCCCGTGCAAGTCTCCCACAACATGTTGACAGATTCCTAGTATCTGCCAGGATAGGTCTCTGGTGTATAAAGGAACATATCTCCCGTCATCATAGAGCAGCAGTGTCTGTAGGTCTGTCAGTGACTGTAAACACTGAGATCTATTACCCAGTCTATAGTGAGATAACACAGACAACATCTCTACTATAACAAATGGTGGTAAATGTTGGCCTGACCTTCTGTTTTGTTGACTCACATTTTGTTCTAAAAATAATTCTTCAATACATGGGATATTGTAAAATAAATACACATCATACACCCAAGCCAATCCCATTCTTCTAAACAAAGATAGATTACCTACAGTTTCATTGTACCTTTGTTTATCAAAAATATATTGATATATAATAAAGTCATCTAACAATTTTCGTTTAGTGAGATTACTGAATCGTACTGCTTTGTCATATCGTCTTGTTCTGTAGTAATACAATGCGAGATAAAGTAAATAAGACACAGACCCTAATCTTGCTGCCATTTTCAACATGCCACAAATTTTTGTATCTAAGTTATAGATTTTTTTATGGGTGCAATATGAAGCACTATTTGTCATTATAAAGGCTGAACGAACAAGAGTCTGAGCAGTACAGTTCTGTAATGTTAATAATTGGTGTGGTGAGTTTGATAACTGAGATAGTATGTTAATTGATTTTAAGTAAAGATAAGATTCCCATATGTGTTGAGCAGGAAAACTTAAGCAATTGAATTCACGTATGCCACATATATCTAAATTTGCAATACTTATGAATTCTCCCTCAGCAGGAGATAACACAAAGGACGGGCTACTGAAGGCTGGTTCTAGGATTGATCTGAGAGTCGGACTCAGCAGTAAACAGGACACGCCCATTCTGTAATACTGATAAAGCTGTTGTAAAAGAGATTCACGTGAATCATCAACAATTTTGTTCATGAACATGTTGTTCTGTGGGATAAAAAAATTAGGGAAAACCCCACGATAAACACAATGAAGAAGATATTTAAAACATTTCCAAAAACAATCCAGTAAGTTGTTTGGGCACCATCTCACTTGTCCTAATTGCATCATCCAGAACATTGTGGTTTTCATGTAATATGAACACAGTAATTCATCCTCCTCACAATTGATAACTTCCTTCAGAAATATTTTCAGGAGTCCGTAACATAGAAATTGTGCATGATTCATGGTACACACTAGTTGTTTCTCGGCTTGAGAAAATGATAACCTCCATTCCAGTTCGTTAGGAGTCACATCAACTTTACTACCAATAGGCATACAGTGACATTCATTTTTTAGGATTTTTTCTAACACAGATACCGGCGGCCAGGTGTGTCTCTGGCATCTTTCAATCCAACCTCCTAATAGTTTAGGCCAAGGAAATGTGGCTAAACAGTAAGCTATATCAACTTCAATAGGTCCACAGAAATTACTACTACAAGGACCATGGATTCGGAAATTTTCAGGGTTAGGAACTCTCTTAATCCTGACCTGAAAATATTGTTCTCTCCACAGCAGACTCGATAAATAAGCCCCGCCATCAAGGAGAACTAGGCGTGACATCATGTGTTCGTTTCGCACTGGGGTCAGAAGGCGCAGTTTGACAAATCCTGGCGGTGTATCAGAATCTTCCATTAGCACAATATTATGCTTTGATGTATTATAAAACCGAGACTGGGAGATGTCAGTAATTAATTTATAATCACAAACCCAAAGCATTATATCCCTGTCAGATGAACTCAGCCGAAATCCCTCTCTATGACTACCACTCATCATCACAGCAATTCCTTTGTGATTATAAACAGGTTTCTCTATCATCTCCTTCATGTTCATCACGTCCCTCCTGATGGCCACTTCTGTTGGTGTCCCTATCTCACGACACATACCAACATACAGGACCTCTGATAGACGGGGAATATGATCCATCCTGTGAAAAGGTTATGTTTATATAATCATTATATAAAGGAAAATAAGGATTTTATATTATTTTTAAGAAATTTAACATACCTGTTAGATATTTAAATGAACATAATTATACATACATGTAACACTATAAAGGTTTCTTGTATTCTCTGCAAATGGCGGGCTGAGCTTTATCAGTTAAAGGGAAATACCGATACCCAGAAAATCTTGTTTCGTTTTCTGTTTAAGCATTTTAATAGTTATTGAACCCGTAAACAAAGAGAAATAGGTGATTTTATATATTTGGGGTGGTGGGGTATTACTTTTCAATACTCCTTTCAAGTAATACTGTGGCAATTTTTGGTCCCCCACCATGATTTTCAGGAACATAACGATGAATATATTTTGTAATACCCTTTGTTCATATTGGCATATTGATTTTTACAAGGCAAAGATGTTTTCGACCCAGATGTGATAATACCGTATAACGGGTATTTTGTACATGCTGCTAATTTTTACTAATTTTTACGAGTTTTATAAATCCGTAAAAATTAAACGCGTAAAATTTCACATAATTTATAAAACGGCTCGTGTAAATTTTCAACATCGTATGTGTAAAAGTAATGCTAATTGTCATTAAGCTCACTCCCTGGAGGCTATATAATTAGTGTACTGTTGGGTGTGTTCCTGTTTTGCACGCATTTGATAATTAGGTATAGAACAATAGGTGTGATAGTGTGTTTTGATAGCGATTATAGTCTAATTTCTGGTTTGGATTTACCTGTGAATACCTGATTTAGCTTAATGTATTCTTAAGAAGTTCTATACAATTTTTAAAGCATTTATCAAAATTTCATATATATGTCACAGGTGGTGAAAAGTCAAGTCTCAACCGGGACTGGAACCCAGGGCCTCTGGCGTACCGTGCAAGCGCTCTAACCCACTTTAGCTATTGAGACCCGGTGTATTGACTGACTTTCACGCACCTGTGAACCCGGTGACATATCCCCCTCTTTGTAGAAATTCGTCCTCGAATTTTACGAGTTAAGGAAATGCTGTAAGGCATGTTCCAAGGAAATAGTTGGTTTTGTACGTTGGACGCCAAATGTCCGAACAGCTGTTGTTATTTTGTTTATCTATGTTTTGATTACTTTGACAGGATGATATAATAAGAATAACAAAAAGAAGGTGACAACTCAAGTTCAAGTTCATTTATTCACTCAAACCATTTAAAGTATATGGTACCTGAGGACAATGAAAAATATTTACAGCATATATACATTCTGGTCAGATATATAAGTATATGATAAACAATTAATAAGACAATGAAGTGGAGAGGAAAATGAAGAGAAAAAAATGGGAAAAGGGAGGAAAAAAACACGTAATAATGAATTGTGAGGAAAACAATTATGGAGGACAGACTAAATCATAATTATATTTTTAATATAAACGTACAGAGTTTTTTAAGTGTCATAGCATCTTGTTTTGTCATCAGTTGAGAAAATTTAAGAACATTTGGTCTAGTAAAGTAGTATTCATTAATAAACTTTTTCCTTATGACAATGCAGTACATTCAAGCATAAAATGAAATTCATCAGCAACCTGTTTAGCATCACAAAGTGTACATAATCTTTCACTTAATGGTATTGATGCCCATCTTCCAAGCTCAACTAGTAGATGGTGATTAGTAGTACGAAATTTGGCAAGTATTTTCCTAAATTTTAATGACAGAATACTTAAATACTTTTCACACTCAAAATTTGTTTTAAAAATTTTATACAAAGTACCTTTGGAAGAACTGTTAATATCAGAATGCCATTTTTGTATAAATTGATCTTGTGATCTTTGTTTAACAACAGTAGTAACCCAGTCTTGATTAGGATTATGATAAAACTGTTCATTCCAGATATAAGAAAGTCCACATGACTCAAAAATACGATTAACACAGTCAATCCAAGGATTCTTACCAATTTCAGATTGTGAGTTAGCAATTAAAAATTGATACAATATACATGAAATTTTCTTATCTGTGCTATTCAATAATTTAAACCAGTATGAGACTATTCTTGAATAAATAAGGACAGATAATGGAAAACGTCCTGCTTCACCATAAACCATATAATTCGGGGTACTACTTTTCAAATATAGAATATGTTTCCAAAATTTTAAATGAACACGTTCAATAATATCTAAGTTTTCAAAACCCCAGATTTCACAACCATAAAGTAACACTGGTAGAACCATTTTATCGAACAGATCAAGTTGACATTTTAATTTTAAAAAAATTGGTTCAGCTCAATCTTTGATCATGTCAATGGAGTGAAAAAATTAAAGAAAAGTTCTTATGAACAAAATCACCCCTACTAATGTTATTGTGATTTAGATTCGAGACACGTGGTTTAGGTTGACCCATTCAAATTAGGGATGTCAACGAATATTCGAGTACTCGACTACTGTTCGATCATATCGACTATCGACTAAAATTTCTGTAGTCGGTTATTCGTTAAAAGTGTGTTTCATCAAAGTAATTTTGAATTCAAGGCAATGATCTTAAACTTGCCCATTTTATTTATTTACAGATCAATATTTTCATATAAAATAATTAAGGGTATGCTATAACTGTTCAAAGGAAATTATTTGTACGTCGATGTATGTTCGACAAACATGTTTTCAAAATCTACATTTTTGGTATAGCTTTAAAATAGGTAAACAGTGTTATCAAGTTTATGTGAAACAGAACTTGTATTCTGCAGTGTAACATCAAACATGATGTATCATATGCCGAATATATCATATCAGTCAAACATATACATATACATGTACACAGCCCTCGAGTGAAACATTCCTAAAGTAAGTTCTCCGCAAAAATGACCCAAAAAGCAGGTTGGGCAAGAAAATCAATGTTTGTTAATGATTGTTTTCCCCTTACTGTTTTGATTGGAGAGGGCAATTGTTTTGTAGTCTGACGTGATACATGTACAACTATTAAGAAATAATATTAATTATTAAACAGCTATTACAAAATTGTAAAAACATGTAAATTGGGTTTAGTTATGAGAATAATTAAACCGTGTTTTCTTTTTCAGTTATTATTTAATAAATTATTGATTGTTTGCACAAAATTTCATAATCAAAATGTATCCAAATCTCTCGCCCTCTCTTCGTTTTTATAAGAGACACGCTTTAACTGTTTACCAGTCAAAGATCATTGATGGACACGTAGAAATGGCTTCAATTATGGAGTACATTTACCACCGTTATGTATGAAGAAAGGACAAATACAAGCTTTTGATATCCTGCATTTAGATAAAATGTGCAGCTATAATATATTAATTTTGAAATTAAATACATTGGATACATATTGATGTACAGTTTTATTGTACTACGTACATGTTAACAATTCAGAAATTCGTTGTATAATGGTGATAGGTTAAATATTGTAAATTAGTCTGTGGAAGACAAACAGTGAAAATGATATGAAAAAAATTAGATAAAATTAAACGAATATTCAACTATTGTTCGACTAAATCATCCGACTATTCGACTAAGCTGTCCGAGTAAAATTGTCATCCCTAATTCAAAGATTATAGGATAGAACCGGTTTTAAAAAAATACATTTGCAGTTACCAGGAAGTTGGTATAGTCTTTTTGAATACCATCTGTTTCTTTTGAAAAGTTGTCCTGTGAAAAATGATTCTGAAACCATTCTGAAAGACTTTCATGATTTTAAACACAAAAATGGTGGGTAAATGGGGGGGGGGGGTGTTGTTGTAAAATAACAATATATCATCATAATTTACGGCGAAAATTAGAGCACACTTTGTGGTAAAATGTGTAATAACATCTACACTGACAAAGCTTTGTTTGTCTTATATGGCTATTGATATTAATACGCACAGAGGATCTTACCCACGAGCAACTGACCAATCGTTGAATAGCAACGTTTTAGCCAAATACATAGATTTTACTTAGAACACGTGGTTCAGGTCAATCTATGATCATGTCAATAAAACAAATGAATTAAAGATAGGTATATGGAATTAAAATTATGTACAATTACATTATATGATTATTCTACGAAATGGAACCTGTCTGTTAATATATCGAAAACAAAAATTGTTATTTTTAGAAACTGAGGTAAAATACGTAAGGAAGAAAAATGGCATTTAAATGGTGAAACAATTGAAATTGTTGACCAATTTATATATATCGGTGTACTTTTGAATAAGAATGGAAAATTTAATAATACACGAAAACAGCTGGCAATCCAGGGTAGAAAAGCAATGTTTTCGATGAAATCAAAAATCAACCAAATGTGTCTTAATACTGAACCAATGTTGTCAATTTTTGGTACTTATGTTTTAAGCATATTCAATTATGGTTGTGAAATATGGGGTGGACACAATGCTAGTGATATTGAAAAAGTGCATTTGGACTTTATTTAATATGTTTTAGATGTTAAAAGGAGCACAAGTACTGCCATGATTTATGTTGAAACTGGTAGACAGCCTGTGAAAATTGTTCGCATTTTTCGATTTTTAAAATTTTGGTTCAAGCTGTTAAAAACTGACAATTGTATTTTGAAAATTTATTATGAATATTTGTTCAATGAATGTGAATATTCCGGCAGACACTCTGATAATTGGGTTGTAAATATCAAACAAAAACTTAATGAGAATGGACTCGGATTTATCTGGCTTGAACAAGACAAAGAAATAATTTATGAACAGTTTCCTGTAATCAAACAAAGAATAACAAATAATTTCATACAAAATCTCATGGCAGAAATTAACTGTTCAACAAAATATTTTTTGTTCAGACACATTGTAGATCATTTAACCTTACAATATTATTTAAGAAATTCAATACCTCCTCTTTACAAAAAACAAATAAGTAGAATAAGAATGTCTTCCCATAACCTTGCAATTGAAACTGGCAGGCATAGAAATATTGTGAAGGAAATTAGATTTTGTGAATTTTGTAAAAATATCATAGAAGACGAATTTCATTTTATTTCAATTTGTCCCCTATACAAGGACTTGAGAAGTAAATTCATATTAAAAGTTATTACTGGAAAAAACCATCCGCATTCAAACTAGTCCAATTATTGAGTGTACAACACATTTTTGTGCTTTGTAATTTAGATAAATTTCTGCATTTATCTTTTAAGTTAAGAAATGAAAAGATGTTATTTATTCTTCGT